GAGACTGATACTGACAGGTGGTTAGGAAGAGTAAAGGCTCTGGAGAAAGCTGAGCCCTGATCCACAAGCTCGTAGGTTCTGCTGTAGGTTAGGGGCTGGTGCGGATCAGACACACAACTCTCTCTCTCTCTCTCTCTCTCTCTCTCTCTCTCTCTCTCTCTCTCTCTCTCTCTCTCTCTCTCTAACAGCTGACTACCAAAACACAGGTTTCTGGATTGGCAGCAGCGAGGTCACATGGGCTTGTACCTATAGGCTTTTATGGTCCACAGACCTAGGACCAGGTCTTGTCCCCATGCACCAAATAAAATAGCTTTGAAACCAGTTTTCTTGTGTCACTGGGAATAAGTGATCAGTGTTCACATTCTGAAGACCGAGATAGGCAAGGAGAACGCTATGAGAACATACCTAACACTTTCTCCTCCCGATTTAGGAATACTCCGCTGAGTGGACCTGTTGCTTAGAAAGATTTCTGACCAGTAGCCAATGAGGCCCTGAAAATCCAAGGTCAGGGGATCTTTTTATTTTATTTATTTAATTTCATGCAGGTGTCCTGGAACTGAAGTTACAGGCCCTCAGGAGGAACAGTGCATGCTCTCACGTGCTGAACTATCTCTCCCACTCCGGGAAACTTTTTTTCCTTTTAATTAACTTTTAGCGCACTTATTTTAATTATTGGTGTGTGTGTGCGCGCGCGCAGCTGTGCTACTGTGTGTGCCTATGGAGGTCAGAGTGCAGCTTGTGAGGTCAGTTCTCCCTTCTACCAGAAGGGTCCCAGAAATTGAATTCATGTCTCTCAAGCGTGGTGGCAATGGCCTTCGCCTGCTGAGTCATCTCATTGCTCCTGAGGGCATGAGAATCTTTGAGAAAATCTGTAATAAAGGAAAGAAGTATGTCTCATTAAGAATTATAATTATGGGCCTGGAGAGATGGCTCAGAGGTTAAGAGCACTGACTGCTCTTCCCGAGGTCCTGAGTTCAATTCCCAGCAACCACATGGTGGCTCACAACCACCTGTAATGAGAGCTGGTGCCCTCTTCTGGCCTGCGGGCATACATGGAGGCTGATCACTGTATACATACTAAATAAATAAATAAATAAATCTTTTAAAAAAATTAAAATTATTTTGGGATTGGAGAGGTGGCTCAGTAGTTAAGAGCACTGGCTGCTCTTCCAGAGGACCCAGGTTCAGTTCCCAGCACCCACCTACCAATCATCTGTAACTCCAGTTCCAGGGGATCCAACATCCTCTTCTGTACACAGACTTACAGACCCGCAAAACACCCATGCACATAAAATAAAAATAAAAAAATCTTAGTAAAGGGCTGGAGAGATGGCTCAGAGGTTAAGAGCATTGTCTTCTCTTCCAAAGGTCCTGAGTTCAATTCCCAGCAACCACATGGTGGCTCACAACCATCTGTAATGGGGTCTGGTGCCCTCTTCTGGCCTGCAGGCATACACACAGACCGAATAGTGTATACATAATAAATAAATAAATATTTTTAAAAAATCTTAGTAAAAAGAAGAATTATAACGGTCTAGAATTAGATAGCGGCCTGACTGATACGAATCCTGTCTGTTTTGTGCACTGGGGTCTGGCCACTGAAGCAACAAACTCCTTGAGAAATGTTTAAAGACAAGAATACCATCTTATTGAACCCCAGTTCCCACAGAACTGCCTAATTGCTCATTAAAATAGAAGCATTTCAAATAAAAGCACAGATCTATAATCCCAGAACTCAGGCAGCCGAGGTAGGAGGTGTAAGACAGAGAGGTCAGTACTGCCAAAAAAAAAAAAAAAAAAAAAGAAAGAAAAGAAAAGAAATTCGGCAGGGCCTGGTGGTTCATACTTAGAATGTGGTGATACATGGCAGTACGGGGAAGGAACGTAGAAACTTCAAGGTTGAGACCAACCTTGCCTATATAGCTAGTCCCTAGCCAGGCTGAACTCTTTAGAGTAAGACCCTCTCAGAAATCAAACAAGACTTCTCCCCAGACTCCCAGAAGTCCCTTTCTTCTAACAAACACACCTACACTCTTGATGTCTTTCTCCTCTTCTCTCTAATTCTCTCTATTCTTTCCTTGTCCTAAGGACTACCCATCAGAGGCCAGGGTAGTGACAGACAGGCAGGGACATTGCCAAGTGCACACATTCTGAAAGAGTGATGTTTGTATGTGGTTATCTGGACTATGACATACAACTCTGGCCTCCTGAGGAACACTGCAAACTCAGTTTGTGATGTTTATACATTTTCTTAACTTACTTACTTTTGTTTTATGTGCATTGGTATTTTGCCTACATGTATGTTTGTGTGAGGAGTTACAGACAGTTTTGAGCTGCCATGTGGGCTTGGGAATTGAACCTGCATCCTCTGGGAGAACAGCCTGTGCTCTTAACCACTGAGCCATCTCTCTAGCCCTGTGACGTTTATGCTTAACCAACATCTTGGTTTATAGGGACAGCTCCAGAATCTGGGCAGATTATTCCAGGAAGGACAGTCATCTAAGCATGCATTTTATTTCTTGTCTCCTCATTATGGCTTGCAAACAGGCAATGCATTAGCTCTCAACCAGCTTCATGAGAAACCATAGAGGCATACTTCTTTGCTGCTATGTGGCTACTGAGTGGGGCAACTTCCTTGTAGCTCCCTGTAAATGCATGGCAGCGATGCCATTAAACATGAAAACTACCCTGTCTGAAGAGTGTCAGGTTCCCTAGGGCGCGAGCTGTAAATGACCCTTCATAAAGACCCACCCTCTCCAATCCTGATAAGCCAAAGGTGAAGGTCCAGTTCTGTTCCGCGCTCTCATTTCCTTCTTTCTAAGTCAGAACCAACTGTGTGACTTGGTGCCCACGGAGGTGGGAAAAGGTTGTCAGGTCTCCTAGACCCAGAGTTAGGCATGGTTGCAATCCACCATGTGGGCCTTAGGAAGCTGGGTCCTCTGGAAGAGCAAGGACCCTCAACTGTTTATGCAGTCTCTCCCTTTCTGTCCCTATGCCCGTCCTCCACTTTTTTTTTTGACAGTCTTACTATGTAGCTCAGAGAAGCCTCAGACTCCATCCTCCTCACTCAGCCTCTTACCAGGCTGACAGCAAATCCTTTTTACAGTGTTGAAGAGTTAAATTTTACGCCAAGTAGATAATTCTTTGTTTTGAAACAGGATCTTACCATGTAGCCCAGGCTGGCCCCAAACTCACAGCCGTTCACCTGTCTCTGCCTCCTGAAGTGCCTGCTCTGCCACATCTGGTTTCAAAAAATCATTCCCTTTTTGTTATTTGTTTTATTTTTTGTTTGTTTGTTTGTTTGTTTGAGACAGGGTCTCATTATGTATCTCTGGCTGTCCTAGAACTCTATGTAGACCAGGCTGATCTTGAACTCACAGAGATCCTGCCTTGGCCTTCTGAGTGAATGCTGGGATTAAAGGTGTGCGCGACCACGCCCAGCTCTAATCATTCTTAATGGTCACCGTGACTCAACCTTTTTAGCTCACTAAGGTGAACCATCACCAGCTGCCTTCCCAGTACCAGATGCTCTCAGCAAGCTTGCCTGCCTCTCCGTAGGTAGAAGCCACCATTCCAGTATTCTGCAGCAGAGAATTCAACCTTCAAAATTCCCCCAGTTGAAGCAGATTTCCCATCCCCCTCCAACAACCCTGCATGCTATACCACGGTGCCATATTCCCTCTTGTTCTAGCTATTCCCTGAAGGGTCTTCTAGTTATCCAATACCATTTCTGCATACTTAATCTGTTTCTTCCTCTAAACCCATAAAAGTCCTTTCTGTTCCTCTCCCAGACTCCCTCTGAGGCCTTGGTAACTCCAGATCTGTCACCACCACCCATGCCCAGCCCACTGCATGTTGCTCTGACACCGCAGGCACCACAATCCAGAGGCTTGCTTTTTCTTCCCCACGCTCCTCTCTCTCTCTCCTTCCTCCTTTTTGAGACGTGCTCTAGCCCTGGATCCTAAACTGGCCTTGAACTCACAATCATCCTGCCTCAGCCTCCTAAATGTGGATTATAATTGTGTCACCATTCCCAGCTACAGAAGAATGCCTGCTTGTCACCTCTACCAATGCTCATGCCGAAGGGGCGCCCTGTCTCTAAGAGGTCTCAGATTGCTGCTGTCTCTACAAAACCTCAGACTGTATGCTCAGGCTGTATGCTTAGACTGTGTGTTAAGACTGTATGCTCAGACTGAATTCTCAGACTGTGTGCTCAGACTGTGTGCTCAGACTGTATGCTCAGACTGAATTCTCAGACTGTATGCTCAGACTGTGTGCTCAGACTGCATCTGAGCTCCTGTCTCCTCCATCTTATATTCCTTTCTCCTTCAGCCATTTCTCTCCTGTCTCCACCTCCCTAGAGCTGGAATTAAAGGCGTGGGATCCCAAGTGCTGGGATCACCTTTGTGTAAACTCTGTTTCTCTTTTATACAGATTGAACCTCATGTAGCCCAGGGTGGTCTTAAACTCACAAAGATCCATCTGCCTCTTTCTCCTGAGTGCTGGGATTAAAGGTGTTTGCCATCACTACCTGGCCTCTATGGCTAACTAGTGGCTTAGCTCTGCACTCTGATCTTCAGGCTAGTTTTATTTGTTAGATTACAAAATATTATGATCCATTATTACATCAATCCACTCATGAGAAAACTAGTTGAGGAATAGTTCAAACACCTGACCAGCACCCATGTGGGATTCCCCCCTCTATGTTATGAATATGTTTTATTACCATTGGTTAATAAAGAAACTACTTTGGCCTATAGCAGGGTAGAATATGGCTAGGCTGGAAGAGATATATAGAGAGAGTAGACGGAGTCAGAGAGATGCCATGTAGCTGCTGAAGGAGACAGACGCCAGACCCTTACCAGTAAGCTACAGCCTCATGCTAATACACAGATTAATAGGAATGGGTTAATTTAAGATATAAAAGTTAGTTAATAAGAAGCCTGAGCTAATAGGCCAAGCAGTGCTGTAATTAATATAGCTTCCGTGTGATTATTCAGGTCTGAGCTGTTGGGAAACGAGCGAGCAGTCGCCAACTACACAGCACTGTTCAAAAACGAAAGCTCAGGAAAGGATGGAAAAAGACCGAGAGCTAGACATCCACGGACCGGAGGAGATGATGGTGATATACACGCTAATACATGATGCATGTAAAGAGCTTGCCTAGCATGTGCCAAGCCCTGGGTTCCCTCTCTAGCAGTCCCGAGTCACAGTAGGAGGTAAGGTGGCTCATGCTTCTATTGCCAACAATTAGGAGGCTGAGGTAGGAGGGTTGCCAGGAGTTGAGTTCAACCTGGTACAGTGAGACCCCTTCATTAAAACAAAACTAATCGAACGCTTTTAATCCCAGCACTCCAGAGGTAGCGGCAGGCAGATTTCTGTGAGTTCAAGGCTAGCCTGGTCTACAAAGTGAGTTTCAGGACAGTCAGAGAAACACTGTTTGAAAAAAATCCAAACCCAAACCAACCAACCAACTCCCCAAAAATTACCGAGGTCAGGTGCAGTGATATTTTGTTTGTGTTCTAACAAATAAAGTTTGTTAGATCAGAGTGCAGAGCCAAGACACTAGAGGACAGGCAGTGGTGGCACTCGGGAGAAAAAGTCAGACATATCTCTATTAGTTCAACACCCTGTGCTACACAAAATCGATTCAGTCTCAAAGAGAAACGGAGCCAGGTGGTAGTGGCTCACATCTTTAATGCCAGTACTTGGGAAGTGAATTCAAGCAGAAGCTCAAGGACACTTTTATTAGAGTTTAAAAGAAAAAATATCCCAGGGCAGGCAAGCTATAAATCTTGGCAGCTTTCCGTGGAGGAGTTGGAGGAGAGAAATGGAAAAAGCAATGCCTCCCAATCAAGCCAGCACAGGGGTCAGCTGCATGGGAGTTGGCAGCACAAAGTGTGGAAAATAAGGAAGTTCCAGGTCTCATGAAAAGCATACTTAGGCTCAGACCAGCAACAGAAAGAGAAAAAGAAAAAATTACACCGTTGACCCAGCAGAACCTCATGGCGACTTGGCTAGTAAGGACTGGACTAGGGAAAGGGAATTCTGGGAAGTATAAGACAATATCTCGGGAAGTATAAGACAATATCTCATCAAAGGACTAAATATTCCACCTCTCTATTTAGCCATACTTAAGGTAAACCCCCCCTTCCTAAAGGTGATCTCTTGGCTAGGCAATTGGCCCAGCACAATTGAAACGGTAGGTCTCTACCCAGATCACTGATTCTCTTGACCAGAAGTTCCCCTAAAAAGGTCTTTATTGTTACTTTAATGTGGGGATAGGGGGGAAAAAAACAATAGTTAAAAAAAAGTTGGAGAAGTCTAAATAAAATCTATAGATTAGTAAGTAATACTGCACCAACGCTAAGGTCTTAGTTTTGATAAAGCTGCGTGGTTTTGTAAGATGTCAACAATGGGAAAGGAAAACTTTCAGTTGTCTGTCTATCACTTCCGGTTATGGAAACAACTTCATCCCTCCTCGTCCCCACACTGCTTCCTCTGCTGCTAAATACTTTAGTAGAAAGGGAATCATGCAAGGCACTGTGACACATGCTTGTATCCCAGTACCTGAGAGGAATGGGAGGAGGGCTACATAGTGAATTTGAGTACAGTCCCCATACATAAGACACTTCCTTGGGGCTGGGGAGATGGCTCAGCGCTTAAGAGCACAGAAGACCCAGGTTCAGTTCCCAGCACCCACATGGCAGTTCCCAACTGTCTGTAACTCCAGTTCCAGAGGATCTGATGCTCTCTTTTGGCCTCTGTGGGCACTGCATACATGTGGTGTACAGACATACATGCAGGCAAAACACCGATACACATAAAATAAAAAAGTAAAAAAAAAGTAAGATGTTTCACAAAACAAACAGCAACAACAAAAAGCAAGCTGTCACCCGTTCAATCCTTTCTCACACATCAGTGGCAAAGTGGACGACTCACCACATAACCCTTCATGGGAGGTGGATGTCTCTGCCTTTTGCTTGTTTGTTTTTGAGCCGGGCCTCCCCCCCCCCCCCCCCCCCCCGGTAGTCCAGGTTGTCCCGGAGCTTAATAAGTAGATCAGCCTGGCCACAAATTCAGAGACTCACCGGCCTCTGCCTCCTGGGTGCTGGAATTAAAGACCTGTGCCATCATGCCCAGTTTTGTTTTCTCTTTTGCGTCTCAGATAGCCCAGGCTGGGCTCCAACAGCATAACTAGGATGACCTGCTCACTTTTCCCAGTGCAGGGATTGCAGACCTGTGCCATCAAGCCCAGGCTGTGAAACAATGGAGGCCAAACCCAGGGTTTCAAATGCAGAGCTTCAAGCATGCTAGACCAGTACCTTTCTAAGTGATGCTCATTCCCAGAGGGCTAGGAATGTGTTCAGCTTCTTTTGAGTTGTGACTTGAAATTCTCCTTGAAATGCTATAAAGAATATTGCATACAAAATTTTATCCTGTGCTCTATGTAGAGATATCTAGTCTAATACTTTCCGTAAAACCTTTTTTTCCTTCCCATTTTAGTGGGGAGAACCTCTGCACTGGTAAAGCTTCACCCCAACCCCAGACATTCATATACCCAGAGTCTGGAATGTTCTCGTGGAAGCTCTACCCCAAGCCTCCTCCCCATCTCTCTCCAAATCCTGTTGCATCTCAGAAAGCCCGCCAAATGATGACCCCTCCCCCAGAGGTGCTCAAGACCACGCCCACAGTGTATTTAGACTGTACTCCAAAAAACAGACAGGTCTTCCTTTTCGGTCTCCTTTCTGGAGGGTTGTAAAATTATCCCGGAGTGTTGTGTCCATTAAACCTGGGCTCTTTCTAATTCGGTTTGATTTGATCTGATTTGGATTGTTGCTTCGGTGGAGAGGCTTATCGGGGTACAAAAACTTTTCAGCCACATGGATCAAAGAATTGACAAATGGGGATGGTCTGTGTCCTACCTGGTGGTCTCAGAGCCTGAATTTAGGTCATCGGGTCTCAGTGAGGAACTAGGAGTTAGAAGATCTTTGACACACAGACATTTAGGGAGGGGCCACAAACAGAGGATGAAGATGGCAAACTTCCGGCTTTTTCCTCACTTTCCTGATCTGAGACAAAAGCCAGGCAGCCAGCCGAGGCCTGGCCTCCTTTTCGTCCCGCCAGTAGGCCCCCCTGCTGGCGGACCGGTTTGACGAGTTCAAGACAGGGATCTGGACAGTTTGCCCCAAAGTTGTGAGCCTATCAACCTCACCGTCTTTGTTCAAACTGACCTCCCCCAAAGACCCTTACAACCCAGCCCCGGAGGAGAAGTAGGACTTTGGGCTTTCCAGTTCCCCTCGACTTTGCGGATGCTCTTTCTGTGTTCTCTCTCTCTCTCTCTCTCTCTCTCTCTCTCTCTCTCTCTCTCTCTCTCTCTCTCTCTCTCTCTTCCCCTTCCCTGTGGTGTCTGAGATCTTCCCCTGATGCTTCCTGTCTCTCTCGAGATATTTTCTGCCTTTAAAATCTTTAATTGGCAGAGAAAAATGAAGCCGATCAAGACCCCTAGCCGCAAGTTTTTAATCCACTGAGCCATCCTGCCTGCCCCTAAGGCATTCTCATTCTGGAAGAGATAGGTAAGAATGCTCAGAGGAGGCTAAGGATGGTGTACACCTGTGCTCCCAGCACTTGAGAAGTGGATGCAGGAGCATCAAAAGTTGAAGGTTATCCTTAGCCGCATAGTAAGCTGCCACGGGACTATATATACTCCTGTAACGAAAACAACAGCATTTACTCCTAGCAGAGGCAAACGGATTGCCGGCCGAGGAAGGAGGATAGCTTGGAGTTGCTAAAGGAGAGCCAGGGCTGGCCATAAAGAGACCCTATCTCAAAAAAATGAGGCGGGGTGGGGTGGGGCTGAGATGGCTCGGTGGCTGAGAGAGATGGTTGCTCTAACTTTCACAGCCGTCTGTAACTCCAGTTCCAGTGGATCTCTGATGTGTTTTGACCTCTGTGGGCACCGGGCACACAGGTGATGCACATAGATCCTTGAGGGAAAAACACTCATACACACAAAAAAAGTTAGTAAATCTATACTTTTCCAATTCTACTTTATTAGAAAAGAGATTTGAATTTTGAGAATGATTTTAGGACTATATTTGGGTATGAAATCCCACAAATATATTCGTGTTTTAAAAGTTATGTATTTTGGTATGTGCATATGTTTGCCTGAGGGTAACAGCATGCAGTGCCAGCAGAGGTCAGAAAAGGACAGCCAGTCCCCTGGAAAGAAGATACAGATGGCTGTGAGCCATCATATGGGCGCTGAGTAGCAAACTCGGGTCTCGTGCAAGATCCTAGGCATTCACTCTCCCAACTGAGACACATCTTCAGTTCACATATCAGCACTTCAATAGTTAATAAAATCGTCAGGTCATCACAATTATTTTAAGACTGTAAAAAAGAGTCTTAAAATGTCTTTGACTTCATTTCCAATTAAATAAACTGTCCTTTGTTTCTAAGACGTTCCCTAAATTTTCGGGAAAAAAAATGGTTTTATCAGCACTGTTCTTTTTCATATGTATAGGAGACCATGACTCTGAAAAAGAGCAAGGAGGGTTATATGGTAGGGCTCGAGGGAGGGACAAGATGGGGGAAATGACGTAATCCTACCATAATTTCAAACCATAAAAGAAATAATTTTAAATGTATAATAATAAAAACTGAAGCACTTTGGTTTCAAGAACGTATCGGGCTGAAGAGATGGCTAGGCGGTTAAGAGCACTTTTGCTCTAGCAGATGACCCCGTTCCACTCCAGGTACTCCCAAGGTGGCTCTCAGCCATCCTTAACTCTAATTCCTGGAGAATCTGAGCCCTCATCTGACTTCCGCGGGCACCAGGCAAGCACGTGGTGCGCATACATGTGGGCAAAACACTCGTACCCATAACGTAAACTTTAAAAGAGTTTGAACAAGTCCTGGAAAGTAAACCGCCAGGCGTAGCACAAAGACAAGGCGGTGTTCGTTATTATTGTCTTTCGGTCCGGGAAGCTCGCGGTTTGACTTGCTATCTCTTTCGGCTTCACGTCCAGTCTCGTCATCCCGTCCGCGACATCCGGTCCTTCCAGGGTACCCGGGCTTGTCCCCGCCTCGCGTCCCACGCAGCAGCGCCCGGGCGGCTCACACCTGGAGAGGGAGGCGGGGAGTGGGGCGGGTGACTCACCGCGGGGCGGGGCCCGGGGGCAGCAAGTCCGCAGGTGGCTCCCCGCCCCGCCCCGCCGCGCGCCCAGAGCGCTCAGTCCCTCGGCCGCTGCGCAGCGCGTCTGTCCGTCCCCGGAGCCGCTCCGTGCCGCAGCCCCCGCGAGTCCCCGCCGCTCCGCGCGCAGCATGGCGCCCCCCCAGGCCCGAGCCTTCGGGCTCCTGCTCGCGGTGGTCACGGCGACGCTGGCCGCGGCTCAGCAAGGTAACTGTGAGGCGGGGACCTGCAGCGGAGGTGTGGGGGTCCCGTCGGGCCGGGGATGGGGAGGGGGACCTCCGTGTGGCCCCGAGACCCGACGGCGCGGGCCGGACCTACGCTCGGATGAGGCAGAGCTGCGGGGTACCAGGCGGGGACATGGGACCTGGGGCCAGGGTGACGGAACGGCCACCGGTGGCCCGGGGTCTAGCGACTCCAACTTGGGGTTCCAGGTCCCAAAGCGCGGGCCTTTGTCGCTGCGACCCGCCGGTTCTCCCTCCTTCCTCCCGTTCCTGCGGCGGTCCCCGGATGTGGGCCCCGGGAGGGGACAGGTAGCTCCCCAGAGGCCGCTATGCACCTGCGCGTCGGAGGCGGGCCTGCTGGGACTTACCTGCCGGAGGTGTGTTTTTTCCTTTTCTAAGAACCATGACTAATGCCATGTTTATTGTAGGTAGGATAGATATAAACTGTAAGGATCTTTTTAAAAATCCAAAATCTTTCCACTCTTAAGAATTCCCTCGTTAAAAATTGTGCATATTCGTGGTTTCGGAATACAAGTAGATTTATATCGTGATCCAGCATTCATAAAGGAAGTTTTCCACTTTCTTTTGTCTTTTATTTGTGTGTGTGTGTGTGTGTGTGTGTGTGTGTGTGTATGCGCGCATGGAGTCAGACAACTTGGGAGCCAGTTCCTTCCACCACGTCGTTCCTAGGGCCCAAATTCAGTTGGTCATGGGCCTTTATCTCCTGAGCTTCCGCGTTGCCCTCGCTTTCTTTATTCCTTACGAACTGTACTTAAACTGTGAGTGGACGATCTGTAGAGAGAAGGACGTGGCGTTTGATCCTAGTTGTTCTTACTATAGAGCTGACTGTGACTTATGATTTATTTCTAAAATGGTATCTGGAAACAGAGACAATTGAACAAGGCACGCTGGAAAGAATTCTTACTTTAGTTTCTTCCTAGTTTTTAAATTAAATATAGTTTAGCTTTGTTTCCTGAAAAGGATTTCGTTCTCTACCAACAGAGGTGGCCTCTATTCACTAATTATACTTTAAGTAACACAGTTTGACCAATTTATATTTTTCTAACTTCAATCTGGGACTAAATTGTAGATTGAGGACTGGACTGGCAGACCCTGGGCTTGATCCCTAACACCCCACAAGCCAGGTGTGTGTATACCTGTAACCCCTAGCACTTAAGAAGGGGGAGCAGGAACATCAGCAAGTTCAAGGTCATCTTTAGCCTGGCGAGGTGATGGGGTCTAGCCTGGGCATAGGAGACCCTGTTTAATAAAGAAAAAGATTGAATAGAAACCTACTGGGCCCCAAGGCAGGCTTTCCTTAAGAAAACTGGGTAAGGGAGGGATAAGAGGGGAGGGTCCATAGATCTCAGACTTGGAACTGAAAAGTTAAAGGAACGACCCGGGTGTAAGGAAAGGAAGCTTGGTGGTGGTGGCTCACACCTTTAATCCCAGCACTTGAGAGGCAGAGGCAGGCGGGTCTCTGTGAGTTCGAGACCAGCCTGGTCTAAAAGAGCTAGTTCCAGGACAGGCTCCAAAACCACAGAGAAACCCTGTCTTGAAAAACCAAAAAGGAAAGGAAAGGAAGCTTCAGTCCTAAGCCCAGCACTTGGGAAGCTGAGGCCAGAGGGCAGTAGTGAGCCTGGGCGGTAGAATTAGACTCTTCCAGAATGGGAGGGTATTGCTGAGAGAAGAAGAAAGGGAAAAAGAATTTTTTTAAACGACAGAGCCATTAAAATGACTCTGTGAGTAAAGTTACTCCTGAGTTAAATCCCCAGGACCCACAGGTAGAAGGGGAGAACGGACTCCCCATGTCAGCCTGACTTTATGTGTGTGCACACAGAAAATATATAGCTAAATGCACAAAGTAAATAGGTAAACGTTAGCTTTAAAAAAAAAAAAGAAAGCCTTGGATTGCAAAAGCAAAGCTGATAAGATCTTTAGAGCGCTGTATTTAAAGCTTTGTTTCTGGCTGGGCCAGTGGTAAAGGCAAGCCTAGCAAGGGTTGAAGAAGGCCAGCCAGGACTGCAAAGTCAGGAACAAATGACCAGCTGTAGTGGGACATGGGTGTGATGTGATCCCAGTCCTTAGGAGGCTGAAGCAGGACACTTGTGAGCTGGAGGCTAGCCTGGGTTTCCTAAGCAAGACTCTGCCTCAGAAATAAAATAATTCAAAAGTAAAAAGAAATCCAGCAACAACAAACTCGTCCATGGGTAGTAACCTCTCTTCCTAGCACTCAGGAGTCCGAGGGTACTATAGTTTGGGGACAGTGAATGAAGGTGTCGTGGATCAGCCTGCAGACCAGAGTTTGATCCCCAGAACCCTAGAGTTCTTAGGAAGAACTCTAGAAGTTT